TTCTTTGGCCAGTGTGTTACATATGAATTTTTATCAACTTTTCCAGTATTATGACAGGTTAAGTAAACTAGAAATGTTTTTTTAAATATTTTTCTCCTTTTTTATAAATAGCACAAAAATAGTTGATCTCATTAAACAAAAACTATGCCTGATTTATGTTTTGGACATGCTGCCAAGTAAAAAAAAAATATTTGCATCAGACAAGTTTGTTTGGTGTCCAAAAGACAATTTCTGTTTTTTTTTAATTTTACTGTAAATTGTAAAGAGCAAAAATAGCACAACCTATGATAAAAAGGACTGACATAGGTTGTGTCCTGAAATGTATATCTTTGAATTGTTTTATGATGGGTGTCTAAAGGTTTGACATCATTTTTTTTCGAAGCTCTTGTCCCTCCAAATGGGGGCTGGTGCCTCGGCAAGACAAACACAAGACGAGTGGTCTTTGGTACAAGCCTGTGGCATGAGAATTTCTGTAAATATCTATGGTAGATTTTGTTTAAAAAATCTTTGTGAATGTCCTGATTTATATCACGTATCGGGTTGGATGTGCCTGGCGCCTCTGGATACAAGGGAGGTCACCTGAAACCTTTACTCCAACCCAAAGACTTTACACCGTCAGATGCTAAATTTCAGCAAGTACTTTATTAGGACTTAAACTGTGACAAGACCTTCAGTTGTGTCCCTTGCACGGGAACAGTCTATGGCAACGCAGACAAATGCAAAAGCTAGCAACAGTTGAACTGTTTTGGCCTCTTCAACATTTCTGCTGTGATATGTTGATAAGTATCAGGAGGACCAGGGGTCATGTTGTGTAAAAGACAAAAAATAAAACTCTAGATTGTAGTGCGGAAAAAAGAAATGTATTTACCTGCAAAGTTGTAGTTTGCAAATACAATGTATTTTTTTTTAATATGCTTTGTAAACGGATGTTTTTGTTATAATAAAAACAATATAAAACAAAATTCACCAAAGGCTTACCATTGACCGTCAATATTTAGAAAGGGAAACATAAAGCAATAATGGAACAAAAGTAGTTGCCATAAATACACAAAAATATGCATTGTTGTACACTCTCAAAAACATCAAGATTCACCAGGTTGCATATTCAACTCTGCTAACATGACAAAGATATACTCACCAGGGATCCCTCCAGCCTGTCTCCCCCTCCCTGCAGCCTTGTAATATTCCTTAGCGCCCTCAGGTCTATACACAGTGGGGGAGATCTATCAAAACTGGAGCAGATTCGCACTGCAGCCAATCAGCATCTCTCTCTTTCAAATCTTATCTTGGCAAACTGAAGAGAGATACTGATTGGTTGCCATGGGCAACTGCTCCAGATTCTGTCTGCTCCAGTTTTGATAAAAATCCCCCCAGTGTATAGACATTGATGATTTACGGGACCTTAGAACGCTGCAGAGGAGGGGGAGAGAAGTTGGAAGGACGAGTCTAAGAGGAATTCGGCTTGGAGCTTTGTTTTTTTAGCCTAGCCAACAAATGAGCAGTTAAACCCATCCTCCCCCACAAGGGTTAATAAAAAGAACTCCTTAATTGACGAGTCATTTTCAATATTTTTAAATCTGCATCCTTAAAGTAATACTGAGCAATCCTGTCATGAAGGTTCTCCTTCAGGCCCTTGCCTGTTATAGGATGATGATATTCTGTCCCTGTCTTCCAGTTTTGCTCCTGCATTGTTCCCTGATGACACATAGGCTCCTAGTGGAGATTTCAAATGGGTATTTTAACACGCATCATGCAGGCATGGTCCAATGTTGTCACCGTCAGGAAACCTGCCCTAAGAGATGACAAGCTGCCATTGCTGGAGTGCATGTAGATGGGAAGTGGCTGAAATGAGGCTGCAGCATATCAGCAGTAGTGTGATTGAACAAAGGTGAAAACAGGTATTTAACAAGATGGTGATTGTTTGTTTATGTTTAATAGTGTTTTAGCAAACTAAATATCATTCATTTAGGGGTTACATCTGCTTTAAAGATCACTTGGCTCATTGCCGACTTCTGAAAATGCTTGTTGTCAGGCTGTCATGCTGAGTCACTGACCCAGATTAAGTATGTAGATAAGGACTTTTTTTGCCATATCTCGTCTTTCCTGATTAGCATGGTTCTTCATTAACTCAAATACTAAAGCCATAGTGTGTGCATACAAGCCAGGCAACAAACTTTTTTTCAAAAAGAGGTCATCAATGGCCCATATTTTTCTCATGTCTGCTTTACTTTAAAGAACTCCAGGCAGAATAAACCTTAGCTCCACTGCAAGGATTAAGTGCTTGTTTTGGTCTAGGGTGTACAATAAAAAAAATGATATACTCACCTGAACTTTGGTTCCACCTGGCTGCTAGACCAGTCACCATAGCCTCTTCTCTCCCTCTGCTCCAGCGGTCTAATGACCTGTGAGTTGTCACTTCTAATACAATGTATTAGACGTGAGGATGCTGAGGGACATTCCACCATCGAGGCTGTGGGGACCAGTCTATCAGCCAAGTGGGACCGTCAGTTGTTAGAATCTGCAGATGGGATAGTCTGACAACTGCACAGCAGACCGATTGTCTTCTATTCTGAAGACGCTGCCCAGCTCGTGTGCCCCTAAGTGAATTCCCTCTGCTCTGGTGATTAAAGCATCAAGCGATGCATTGTGGGAGGGCAGAAAGTTTACGTATGTTCAGCTCAAACCTGGAAGTTTGGTTTTTATATTGGGCTCCTGAGGCAGTTTGGAAAAATATGTCCTATTGGGGAGACTTCCCTTCACTTCCTGTCCCATAGACAAAAGAAGCAATAGGAAATCTTTCCAAAGGGAGGTAAATCCTCTCAGTTGTCAACATAGCAAGTGTCCCCCATTGGAGATTCCCCCTCTATTCCTGTTCCACTGACAACCCAATTTCCCCTCACTTTTTGTTCTTGGACAGATAGGGTGAATCTCCCCTGCAGGAACACAACAATAAAAACCTGACAGGATCTTTAATCCTTCCACGTTCTATCCCAAAGAAGAAGAAACGAGTTTTGGCTTTAGATGCATTTTATAGGGAATCTATAACTGCCCATTGGGGCTAAGCAACCACTTCTCTTGAAAGCTCTTAGATTGTAAGCTCGTTTGGGCAGGGTCCTCCTCACCTACTGTTTCTGTAAGTCAATGATGTTTGTCAGTGTTTCTTACTTGTCTTGTCTAAATGATTGTACAACGCTGCGGAATATGTTGGCACTATATAAATAATTGTAATTGAAAGCTCACCTTCCACCTGCTCCTCTCCATGTGACAACGTTCAGGTCCAGCAATTGGCCACTTGGGCCCGATTACTGAATCCTGGGAGGAAGGGAAGTAGGTCACATGCTAACCCATACCCGGAAGCACTTGGTGTTTGCAGAGACTCCCCCTACCTAAGGGAGTGATTGTACAATGTGTGGATGGTAGTATCAAGGGGTAGGGGTGAGTTTTAAGATTCTCTTTGAAGCCTATTTCTGGGTAACAGCTTGGGTAGATTGCCTGTCTATGTCTAGGGATATGGTGAAGAGGGCTATGGACCCTGCTCTGTATGTGATGATGTCTCCAAGCACAGGGGGGAACGATCTGTGAGCGCCAGGAGTGAGGATCAGGTAAGTAAAAGTCCTTTGCAAAGGTCCTCCAGAGAAAAAGAAGCAGTTAATCCCTGCAGTGCAGGGGTGGCCCCACTGCAAAAGTAGGTATTTTTAAGTGGAGATACTCTACTTTTGCCTATAGAGGTTAAAGACTATGTGATTTGACCAGGGGTGGCCAAACTTTTGCATACCACTGGTTACATACATGTAGATTACTGATGGGTATGGTAGACTGCTTAGCAGGTTCTAGCGAGTAACCAGGGGACACTAATGGGTAAAGCACGAACAATTCTCACGGGAAACTGCTTGCCCAACACTTTGTCTGGCCAGCATCGTTCTTCAAAATGTATCTTGTTGTTTGGGGAACTCTTCAGATTGACTTGACTTTTTTTTTTTACCTTGGAGACCGTTAAGAAAGATTTCAATTTCATTCTTGTGCTTTGCACTTGCTGACCACTTCCTGTTCGATGTTTTGTATTGGGCGTGTGTGTAATTTCCTGTTTTGGTCAATGTCAAGCTGAGTTCTGTTTTTAGGCAGGCTGATATAACTAGACCTATCGATGACCGCCGGGACGACGAATCCTTTGACAGCGCCAATTTTTAGTGTCATGTTCTTCCTTACAGGATACAGCCCCTGCTAATTTTACTTAAAGGCTCGCAAAAAATCCGCAGCATGCAGTAGGTCATTGTCCTAATGATACCTCACAGAACTTGGTTCCTTCTATGCTTTGATGTGTCGGAATTCAGAACATCCTGTTTTGGGGAAGTGCGCGACACAGTTTATGTCGAATGGGACGTGTATCCTGTGATGCAACAACCAGAATACGGTTTTCCTTGGTGAAACAGTCTAGTCTTAATACACAAAAAAGAACACTTCAGTTATTTATCCACTAAAAAAATTAATAAATGAAGGAGCATACTTATAAAGCAGTAAATGCGACATTCGCGGTAGGTGAATCAATTACTGAATTTAAAACATGCCCTAGGAAGATTCAGCTGCCGTGAATGTCACATTCACTGCTTTATAAATATACCCCTAATGTATCTTAAACTATTTAGTCTAAAAAAGCTCTCTGTATATAATATATTGCTATAATCCCTTGCAGACATCTGGTTTAAAGGAAGGTGAGCCAATCACTGCTCCCTGCAATTCCATGCCTAACGTAATTCACGCACTGGGGCTAGCCGGGAAGAGCTTAGGCAAAACTAAGCAGACCTGAAGAATTCCAGTGATGTTTACCCCTTGAGCAGGTAGCCACAGGAAGATGAAATAATGTAAAGTATTGTCATACAAT